TTTGCATAATTATATGTCATTAGCAGTAACGGATATTTATGCAAATAATTAGAAAGACGGCGTTCTACGCGAGAGATCATGCTGCTTATTAAATATTACCGTGCATTCTGCGCGTATTTTTCTCGCTCTTAAAATTTTTGCAAATTTTTACAAAATTTTACGCCGAAATTCGCAGTTTGATCAGCATCACGATTTAATTTGAATTCAATTTCTTTAATTTGAATAAAAGTAGCCTGTTTCAAATTTTAAGATTTCAAAATGAAAAACACTCTGATCAATTTAAACAAACGTAGTCTGTCTTTAAGTTTAAGTTAAGAATACATAACATTTGCTGATAAATCATAAAGAAAATGTATTCGAAAGCAATGGTTCCTCGGTGCAATTCAAACATTTGGTTTCGAATTAATTTTCGATCCAGGGATTTTTTTAGTTTTGGTAGAAATTTCTCCTCCGAATTTAGTTACGCGACTTTGAGATGTGCTGCTCTAATATTTTTCCACCGCTATTGCGTAACAAAATAACATCGTTATAAATAAACAGATCAAAATTAACCACTTGCGCTGGCAACTGATTGCGGACCGTAACGAGTGACCGAAACCGTATACAATAATTCGTCGCTTTCTGTTTAAACTCTATTATTAAAATAGTTATTATTTCGATAATACTGTTTAATTTTATTTTAATAACTAATTGTTTTAAGGAGGCTGAAAGTAAAGTATTATTTAGAAAATAATTACTATTTTAGTTTTATTCTAAATAATACTAAAATAGTAATTATTTTAATGATACTATTTAATTTTATTTTAATAAGTAATTATTTTAAGGGGGGTGAAAGTAAAGTATTATTTAGGGAATAATTTCTATTTTAGTATTGTAAATAATACTAAAATAGTGATTATTTTCTAAATAATACTAAAATAAATAATACTGAAATAGTAATTATTTTCTAAATAATACTTTACTTTCACCCCCCCTTAACCACTTGCGCTGGCAATCGATTGCGGACCATAACGAGTGACCAAAATTCATATACAACAATTCTTTCGCTTTCTTTTTAAACTCGTCGGTACCATATCACTGGATAGAAATTATTCAGCAGTAATAAATTTATTATTTGTTTTATCTTGTCTATAAATTTATCATTTACATTTAAATATACTTAAAGCTGAGAAAATGTTGCAATTTTGGTACGAAAAAATTTTCGATGTCACTCCGGCGCAAGAGGTTAAAAAACAATCGAACCCAAGTTCCAAGACCTGTCCTGTATTTTTTTTTTTTTTCTTTTCGCAACACCTAACTGAAAGAGACACTCTCCCGCGACACAATTCTCGCCCAATTAAAATAGTTTAATAGATCGTAAAAGCGTACGAGAGAAACGGCGGGTTGAGTGCATGCACGTGACTGATCCTAGCCGAAATAATGGCTGATCGCCGTCGAGTTTGCGTCACACGGGTGGCCGTGGGTCACCCGGTAGAGCCGCGTTCTCATGTCGATACTGTTATCGGCTGCTGAAAAGATAATCAGCCGGACCTCTCGATGCCCGTCGCCGCACGCTGGAGAGTGGGCGTGCGACCGGCTGCATCGTCGCGGAATTTATTCAGCTGCCCTCAATACCGATGGAATTCAGACTTGCGACGAGCCGACCGAATTGCACGACTCGAACGACTTCTCGTCGTTATAAATATGTGCGACGTATGGTGTGCCAGTCGGCTGGCATCGTCGTGTTTCCATTGTCGGGCAAATTTTTACGATCACGAGCACGAGACGAGTGGTTGAAACCGATGAGTCAATCGTTCGTTCGAAATTGAGATATTAACGCCGCCTGGTGACAGTTGGATCTGTCGAACTGTAATATAAGAAAGTATAAGTAGCATCGGTCGTGCTTATATTTTTTTCTCTCAATGATGAAATAATGAATTTCCATTGAACTCGAAGAAACGATCTATGGAAATCTGTAGAAATATTTTCTTCACATCGAAGCAAATACAGTCTGAAAGATACGTCGATTTTTTATATTGGCCTTAAAATTGGTAATTAACAGAGTGTTTATTCCTGTTGTTTTTCTTGACATTTAACCCATTCGAGTGAAAACGACAACAGCAACAGGAGAAACGTTCAGCAACAAGTGGCGTGACTTTTTCACGATACGTGAGACATCGTGAACAGGAAAAGTTCTCGCTTGTTGCTTTAAACTTCAGAGCGTGTCGATCTTTAAACACTCGTAGCTCAATATTAAACAAATCCTCGGGCTTTTCTGCGTTTAAATATTTAACAAACTATTGCAACGAATTGTGTGGTCCGAACATTTTCACGATCAACTATATAAAAGATTTCACAGAAAAAGTACTCGCTGAAAGCACCATACGTTAAATTTTCAATCGTAATAATCTGATACATATTACACATCCCACTTGGAAATGAAAAATCACATCTTAAAAGCATAGTTTCGCTTCTCAAGGAACAAACTGTCGGATTGGTATTGACAATTTTGTTTTGTAAGTTTAAACAAACAGACCATTTTCCCTGCCTCCTGAAAAATTTGACGTCGGCGTATTTGATTTTTATGGTTGAAGAATTAACCACTTGCGCTGGCAACCGATTGCGGACCATAATGAGTGACCAAAACCATATACAATAATCAGCCGTTTTCTTTTCGAACTCGTCGCTATGATATCACTGGATAGAAATTATTGAAAAATAATAAATTTATTATTTGCTTTGCCTATTTTGTTTTACTTAAATATACAATTTTACTTATTATAACATGTTATGCTACAATATATAATATAACATAACCTATGTTATGCCTAATATAACCTATAATCTAGTTAAATACATTTAGTGTGTTTATTGTTAAATTATATTACAGATTGAAGCTGTATTAACTTTCAATATTTTAAATAAAATAAAATTTTCTACAGTGTCAGAAAACGACGTTATTTATAAGTATCCTTAATCACTTGCGCTGGCAACCGATTGCGGACCATAATGAGTGACCAAAACCATAAACAATAATCAGCCGTTTTCTTTTCGAACTCGTCGCTATGATATCACTGGATAGAAATTATTGAAAAATAATAAATTTATTATTTGCTTTGCCTATTTTGTTTTACTTAAATATACAATTTTACTTATTATAACATGTTATGCTACAATATATAATATAACATAACCTATGTTATGCCTAATATAACCTATAATCTAGTTAAATACATTTAGTGTGTTTATTGTTAAATTATATTACAGATTGAAGCTGTATTAACTTTCAATATTTTAAATAAAATAAAATTTTCTACAGTGTCAGAAAACGACGTTATTTATAAGTATCCTTAATCACTTGCGCTGGCAACCGATTGCGGACCATAACGAGTGACCAAAACCGTATACAATAATCCGTCGCTTTCTTTTCGAACTCGTCGCTATGACATCACTGGATAGAAATTATTGAAAAGTAATAAATTTATTATTTGCTTTGCCTATTTTGTTTTACTTAAATATACAATTTTACTTATTATAACATGTTATGCTACAATATATAATATAACATAACTTATGTTATGCCTAATATAACCTATATTTTAGTTAAATACATGGACATTTAGTGTGTTTATTGTTAAATTATATTACAGATTGAAGCTGTATTAACTTTTAAATAAAATAAAATATTCTATAGTGTCATTACTTATAGGTGTCCTTAACCACTTGCGCTGGCAACCGATTGCGGACCAAAACCGTATACAATAATTCGCCGCTTTCTTTTTTGAACTCGTCGATATCATATGATATCACTGGATAGAAATTATCGAGAAGTGACAAACTCATCATTTGTTTTACCTGGGTTACATTTAAATATACTTGAAACTGAGAAGATATTGCCATTTTGGGACAGAAAATTCTCGACGTGCGTATTCACGAGTAACGTTCATTTTTTTTCTCAGAGTTAACACTGCCATCTAGCGAATTTAACTTATCATAACGTAACCTAGTTATGCTATAATATTAGTTAAATATATATTATAATATAACCTAGTTATACTATTTAGTTATATATATATATATATATATATATATATATATTGACATTTAGTGTATTTATTGTTAAATGTATCATAGATTAAATAAACTATATTAAATAAAATGAAATTTGGAACAGCATCAAAAATACATTACTCATGGTTATCCCTATGTATCAGAGTAAATGCAAAGCTCGGAAAACTTTCGAAAATTTCATTCAAATCGACAGTTTCCCCTTCTTCTCCATATTAATCCTCTTTATTTCCAAAACTTGAAATAAACGACATGCATGGCAACAGGTGAAATTTCGTGATCTCCGAAAGCTCTATGCGCGGAAGAAGATACGTACACACTTCGATAGCTCGCGACGTAAGCCGACCGCCTGTGTGTGTGTTTTGCCCGGCTATCGAAACGCTCGATTCGCGATTCGCGGCCGAGAGCGGTCGGCCGTTTTACGTAATCGCGATTAAGCGCGTCCTTGCGAGCGTATATATCTGTCCCGGGCTCGTCACGCGACACGCGCCATTGCTTCGAGAATTTTCAACGCGAGTCCCCGTCGGCAGCCGCGCGCCGAGCGTAAAAAAAACCGGTTCCCCGGCGGCGGCGGCGGTTCGCCTCGAAACTCCAAGCCACGCCGTGAAATATATATCGCCGATTCGAGATTCTTCCTCCCGGACTACGAATATTAATTCCTCCACTTTTTATATCCTTTCGGCCGTTTCTTCTTTCGATCTTCGTTCCTTTTCTGACGACGATTCAGATGTATCGCTTGAGCGTGAAATCGATCGCGGATTCCTCTTGGCGATCGACTGAAACGAGAGAAAGGGATCATTCGCGTCCTTCGATTTCGGTGTTGAGTTTAACGCGAGTCAAGTGTCAAACGAGATTACGAGGCTATGACGACACGACGCCAAGATTGTGAATCTCGATTTACGTCCCGTTCTGTACCGTTCTGTTGGTTATTACCGGTTACTACGAGTTGAAAGATAACATTGAACTAACTCCCTGGGAACGATTTTTTCCCCCTTTTCTTCAGTTATCTGACCGATGCGAGAGTCATGCGAGTGTATGACGCGGGCTTCTTCGACTACTCGCGTCTCTGAAACTGATTCTCGTAAATAGAAACGATCGATTGATGGATGTCTTGTCGTAAGCATTGAGTTCAGTTTTCTAAAATTCAAAAGCAGGTGATTCCTTGGGACGAAACGTAAAAGTTCAGCTTGAAATTACGAATGATGCAGAAGTATACTGTGTTAAATGCAAGAGGAGAAGTCTTAAATTCCTGTCTTAATTAAACTTTACGGTCTACTATTTTCCACACGTGATTCTTATGTTTCAATTTTCGTTGTTGTGTCGTCACAGTTGGTAAAATTATAGCAAATTTCCTATGTCAATGTCTTCTGGATATACTTAGCCAAAAGTTAAATAAACGTACTACGATTTACATGTGTAAAGTATTCGATTGTTTCAATGATTTGTTTGCGTTGTTATATATTGAGTTGGCCGGAAAGTAATTGCATTTTTTTCTCAAACTTTTCTCTAACTTCATTTTAAATCGCGTTCAGATTCGTTACGTAGTCTGATACTCGTTTCAGAGGAAGAAAGTGCACAATTTCGTTAACAATTGTTCGCCTGGCGTCGATCTCAAAATGATAAATCAGAAAAGGAACATTTTGCTGTACCGTCTCTTGAAAAGAAGAAAAAGAAAAAAAAAAAAACACTGCGCAAGCTCATGAGAAATTATCTGACATGTATGGTGAAGAAATCTTCGAACCATGACAGGTTGCAAATCGTTCTTAAAACTTTTCTTTCTTCGTCGAAAGAGGTAAGAACGTTTTTTGAACATTGAGTCGGTAATTTGGCCAAAGATGATCGAAGAAAATGGTCAGTATATTGTCTGATAAAGCTTTCGTTTCTCGTGACAAAAGTTCGGCACACATTTCTCGATCGATCCAATATTTCGAATAAATCTACTTGTTTTTCAGGACAGTCTTGTCAAAATTACGATTTTCATCGGTGACCGAATCGGTGGAAGGATCGAAAATTTATGCAGGAATCTCGACCGCATTCCGTCAACATGGCGGCTGTGGAACGTGACCTAACGAAGCCTCGCCGTTGGATTTGCTCCGACTTTTCTTGTCACAGATGTTAAATAAATCTCATAATCCTCTTCTTTTTTAATTGGCGCAGAAAATAGATTGTTGTAATCAACAGATTGGATATTTCGTATTCAGACATATACATATATACAGGGTGGTTTACATTGAAAAACTGAAAGGTATGAAAAAGTCATAACTTATTCATTTTCAATCTTTTTTAATTTCTTTCTTTGCAGGTTAACTAATTATATGTTTTATACTTCCATGAATTATATTTCCAAATAATAAAATAATAAAAAATTTAAAAAAAGTCTTTCAAGTCTGACCATTCTGTATATATAGTCAAATCAACCTACTATATAACTGCAGTATACTATACTAAGTATAGTTTTGTATTCAAATATATATAAATATATAGTCAACAAGTCAATATATATATATTCTTACTGATTGACTGCGGATATTTCATTTACGAGCAAAATTAAAAGAGCTAAGCTGAAATTTCGACACCAGGTATAATAAATACTGTAACAAATTTTGAATATTTTATATTATCCCTTGAATTATTAGCTGCTTTCCTGGCACAGAAATGTACGAGTAATTCCTACATATTGCATTTCGAAAACTTGCAACATTCAGATTTACGATCGTCGCGATTATTGAACTGGCATTTCAAACGGCAGGTCGCGCGGTATTAACAGATCTGCAAAATCGTTTTTCACGATCGTTGAATTGCATTTTCAGGACACGCGTGTATCTATCTATCGCTATAGTTTGAAAGAGATACACATCTTTGAAAGATACTGATCTGTGCGATCAATAAAATGGAAATTCGGTTGTTGCATACCATTTCGCATAAACCGTGAATGTGCCCGGGAAATATGAAACAATCGCGAAATTTTCCAGTCTTTTCACCCTTGTAAACCCGTTTTCAACGTTTAACTTTCGCATGCAGAGTTTTATAAAATATTTCACGCCCCGGCAACGAGCAAATTTAATACACCATCAATGTTTCACACAGCGGAGGCGAGTGCAATGTTGAGGCGAACACGCGCGCACTGGCAACCGTAATAAATATCCATACGCGTCGCGCGTGTACCATACACGAGTGATCAAAATTTTCAACCGTGAAATAACCGATAGAACAGCGAAAATTTCCCCCAAAAAACATTCGATCCACAAGTTACGTCGAACAGGCGATAAAACAATTTGAAAATAATGTTTCCCGCGTCAACGTATATGCTTCCAAATCCACGTTTTTAACGAATATAATCTACTTATTTTGATGTATGATGGATTACCTTGATTCGTCTTTTTATACTTCTGTGTTTTCATATTTTCTTTTCTTTCCGATTTTTTTAAAATTTTACTTTACATTTATATTTTATTTTATTCACAGTTTCTTTTCTTACCGATTTTTTTTAAAATTTTATTTTACATTTATATTTTATTCTATTCACATTTTTTTTCCTTACCGATTTCTTTTAAATTTTATTTTACATTTATATTTTATTTTATTCACATTTTCTTTCCTTTTCGATTTTTTTAAAATTTTATTTTACATTTATATTTCATTTTATTCACATTTTCTTTCCTTTCCGATTGTTTTTAATTTTATTTTACATTTATATTTTATTTTATTTACATTTTCTTTCCTTTCCGATTTTTTTAAAATTTTATTTTACATTTATATTTTATTTTATTCACATTTTCTTTCCTTTCCGATTTTTTTTAAATTTTATTTTACATTTATATTTTATTTTATTCACATTTTCTTTTCTTTCCGATTTTTTTCTTTTTCTAAATTTTACATTTATTCAAAAATATAGTGTGCAGCAAAAGTTTGCTGAGAAATTCGCGATGAGTCGAAAGTGAAACACTTTGAAACTCCAAGTAACATATACCAAATGCATACAAAGTGTCTCACATAAGATAATAATTTTAATTTCCTGATAACTCTTCGTAAGAGGATCAGTACACTGCAATCTTAAATTTCAAGATCCTTCGTCTAGTATACAAAAAAAAAAAAAAATAAATAAATAAATAAATAAATAAATAAATATTATTAAAATTATAACCAACATATTCAAACTTTTTCGATTGATCATGATCGCAATCAATTACAAACCAAATTCGACCGATAGAGAGTAGATGAAACACTCGGCAAGGAGAAGTGGTTTTGGAGGGATCGAAACACGACGAAGAAGGCGAGAAACGTTGCAGGGAACGATCGATATCCTGACATCCTGGCCCACGCGTGAAATCAATGCCTGCTGGCGCCGCTGAGGGCCGGTCACCATATTGCGGCCAATCGAAACGCAGAGAAGCTCAAGAAAAATTCGATAATCTTCTCTGTGATGCTATGTAATCAGGTGATCGATTGTAAAACATCAAAGATAGATATCATACTTGAACGCAATTAGATTAAAATTGATACCAGGCATCACGTAATCGAGTGATTAATAATCGTTTTTAAAATATCAAAAATAAACGTTAGACTGTAGTTAGACGAAGTAACGTCATAAGTAATGTCGATAATGTACAAAATATTATTTCATTTAAGAAGTTTAATACAGTTTTAATTTATAATACAATTTAATATCAAATGTCAATATAGAGTACTATTTAAGTAGAATATAGGTTGTGTTATAATATTGCTAATTGTTATGTCAATATTCTTATAAGTTATGTTAATATTGTTAATAAAAAGAATTTTAATACAGTTTTAATTTATAATACAATTTAATAACAAATGTCAATATATTTAAGTAGAATATAGGTTGTGTTATAATATTGCTAATTATTATGTTGATATTGTTATAAGTTATGTTAATATTGTTAATAAAAAGAATTTTAATACAGTTTTAATTTATAATACAATTTAATAACAAATGTCAATATATTTAAGTAGAATATAGGTTGTGTTATAATATTGCTAATTATTATGTTGATACTGTTATAAGTTATGTTAATATTGTTAATATTGTTAATTGTTATGTTAATATTGTTATAAGTTATGTTAATATTGTTAATATTCTTATAAGTTAAATTATTGTCACTGATGGCAATGTTTATTAAATTTGAAGAAAACGGCATTACTTATGACATTACCTCTAATATTTATACTATTTAGCAACGAAAAAGAAATTTCTGCTTAGGCTCCGTAGTTTCAAAATTGAAGATCACGCAAAATTTATTTTCTTTTTTTTTTATTTCAAAAAAATAACACCTAATATAGAGACTAACTTTCTAATATCCTACTCCATTCTCCTCCAAATTCTTTTTACCATTGGAATTGATATGAAAGATGATGCTACATTTCATAGTATTGAGTATCAATTTTCCTTCTTTAATACTTAGTTTAAAGGAACACTAACTTCCTAATATTCTGCTTTATTCTCTTCCAAATTCTTATCTCCCAAATATTTTACTTTATTGAAATTGGCGTTAAATCAGCGATACTAAATTTGGTATTAATTTTTCTTTCTTTAATGCTTGATCAAAGGAAAAATGAAACAAAAGAAAAAAAATCAGCGATACTAAATTTGGTATAAAAATTTTTCTTTCTTCAATGCTTGATCAAAGGAAAAATGAAACAAAAGAAAAAAAATCAGCGATACTAAATTTGGTATAAAAATTTTTCTTTCTTCAATGCTTGATGCGATACTAAATTTGGTATTAATTTTTCTTTCTTCAATGCTTGATGCGATACTAAATTTGGTATTAATTTTTCTTTCTTTAATATTGCTTGATAATGAAACAAAAAAAAAAAAAAAATCAGCGATACTAAATTTGGTATTAATATTTCTTTCTTTAATGCTTGCAGCGATACTAAATTTGGTATTAATTTTTCTTTCTTTAATGCTTGCAGCGATACTAAATTTGGTATTAATTTTTCTTTCTTTAATGCTTGCAGCGATACTAAATTTCGTATTAATTTTTCTTCCTTTAATACTCGATCAAAGGAATAATGAAAACAAAAAGAAAAAAAAAAAAAAAAGAAAATTGCGTTCCGTCGAGCCGCAGAACAGGTTACCTTAAAATCGGTGGATGTTATATTGCAGCTTCGAAAAGGAGCAGCACGATCGTAAGGAGGCTCGAACGCGAGTTCGTAAATTCGCGCGTTATCGGGCAACGAGGCGGGAAAAATGAATCGATGAATCGTCGTGGGGCTCGCGTATTTCGTCGTATCGGCGTCCACAAATCACCGGCCGCGTCGTTCGATTGATAAAACCGGCAACGGTTCCCCCGTTCTTCTGGTTTATTAAGATCGGCGGGCGATATTTACGGGGTGGCTGCAGGCGATCGAGAAGGCGTAATCGGGGCCACGGTATAAAGACTCGTCGAGCCGCGTTACTTTCCGATAAGCTGGCGAACCGTTCCACGAGGTCGTGAATCGCCGATCATCGATAACCGGGCCGATACGTACGCTGCAATTTCTTCCCAATGCTAATAATAACGCGCGATACGCGGAATGTCGTGTTCACTCCCGACTTTCGATCCCGTCCTCCAACTACGCAGCGCGACGTCGCACTTTCCGATCTTGCCGATTTTGTGCTGCCGAGTAAAATAAACGGATGGCAATCGTTGCCACGGCCATGTAGTAATTATGATGATAAATAAATTAACATCACAATACTACAAATAAATAATAACTCCGTAATTGATTTTAGTTTATATAAAAATATATAACAAAATATATAATTACTAATAATAAATAACAAATAACGAAGATTAAATAATGAAAGTTAAATAACGAATGAATAATTAACATGATAATTGCAGTACATGTAAGTTTCTGCAAATATTTCCACGGTGATAATGAAATTACTAACAATTTTTAAATATTCTATTGTTTATGTTAAATACACATCTCGATGGAATGATTTAATGAACATAGATGTCGTTGATCTAAATTCTTCAAAGTAGAGGTCGCTACAGCCAAACGAATTTATTTCAAGGATCAATTATATATTTTCATTTCGCGTATCTTTCCCGGCTTTGGCCAAGATGGTTTTCAATTTCTTTGCTGTTTGAAGAATATTCCAACGTATTAATTAATGTTTGTAATTGAAAATTGCTTAAAGAGTGTTTTCTTCTTACTGTGTTTGTCCCTGTAAAAAAATACTCTCCTTCTTTTTTTTTTTTTTTTTTGAGAAAAATATTGATTGTGA